TTGTTATACTGTTGGTGGTGGTGGTGGTGGGGATGGTTTTAAATAAAGAGAAGGTGCAGGTGGGGGTGGTAGTAAAGGGTAAAGGGGCCACATATGGTGACAGAAGATGATTTGACTTTGGTTGGTGGGCATACAATGCAATATACAAATCATGTATCATAGAAATGTACACTTGAAACCTATATGACTGTATTAACCAATGTCACCCCAATACATTTAGTGAAATAAAAAAATTTTTTTTAAAGAAATAGTCTATGACCCTAGCCGGTTTGGCTCAGTGGATAGAGCCTCGGCCTGCAGACTGAAGGGTCCCGGGTTCGATTCTTGTCAGGGGCACATGCCTGGGTTATAAGCTTGATCCCCAGTGGGGGGGTATGCAGGAGGCAGCCTATCAATGATTCTCTCTCATCATTGATGTTTCTATCTCTCTCCCCCTTTCCCTTCCTCTCTGAAATCAATAAATATATATTTTTTTAAAAAGAAGAAGAAATAGTCTATGAAAACAAGGATGTATGAGTCTGAAGCAAGTACAATGCCAGACACTTCCTATTTGGAATACTCATGGATACAGGACACAATTCCAAGTTTCCTTTATTGCAACTAAATAAGATCTCTTGTGTAAACACAGACTACTAAGGCATCTAACAACTTACTCGTGATCTGTAATGTAAGCTGCCCTTTGAGGAGTTCTCTTATCTGTTTTTTCTATTTGCCTATTGGTAGAGCCATCTGCCTTCCACTCTTTGTGTTAAATGCCTTAACTCCCTTATTTCTCTTCTGCTCCTAAGTCTTCTTTCATATTAGAATTTGTACCTTTACTAACCTCTAATGTCAAGTTTAAAATCACTGAAAAACAACTGAGTACCCTCCAAGAAAACCATCAAACTTATTAAAACATGACTACAGGTATCAATCATGTTATAATTACCAGATGTATACATCTTTAGGTTTCTAAATTAAACTTTATCAAAGTAATACATACACATAGTTTAAAGCCATTCAAGGTTTATAATGAAATATGACAAGTTTCCTGCCACACTCTGCCCTCCCACTCCCATTTCTGAAATAACCGTTGCACAATTTTAGATGTTCCTTCTGATATTTGCCATGATGTTTCTAAGTCATGAACTTATGCTGATCATTTTTGTAGATAATGTTAAAATGACTTCTGATTTTGCAAAATTAAGAATTTTATCCAAGCGTATATTCATATTTCTTGTTTATCCAGAGTTCCAATATTCATAAAATGCCTTCTGATTTTGCAAAATGAATTTTATCCAAGCACATATTCATATTTCTTGTTTATCCAGAGTTCCAATATTCATTAACCATCACATTCATTTGTTCATGACCACATATTTTCTTCCACTTTCTCCCTCCATTCCAACCATACATACATACATATGGCTTTCCATCTATCCTCCTTTCATTTTATAAAAGCACTGTTCAACTCCCTATTACCTTCTTATTTGTTCTGTATATAAGCCTGTATGTGTTAAACCTTTAAAATTTCAGGTTTGTTAGTACTTAAATATAGCTTCATCTACGCTGAATACAATAATTTAATCTAAAAAATAGAAAATTAGAAGTTGAGAGAGGGTCTAGACTACAAATTTGTTATAAAGTATTATACAGGAAATTTCAAACAACTAGGAATTCTTTCACTTGTAAGGTAATGACTAATATGGTGTATATTTGCAATGCTAATTTTTATTTTAATCTGCTTATATATTTGATGGGAATAAATGCTTTCTTTCTCGTGATTCCTTGCAAGACTCAGAGATTCGTGGATTCTTTTCATTGTGTGATACTCAATATATCATAATCTCTAGATATGCAGCAAATAAATCTTGTTGGGAATAGCTGTAGTCTTGCTGTATTAGCAGTTGGCTAGGCTTGTGGAAATCCCAACGAATCTCCCAAGACCCTAGGTGTAAGTCCCAAACTCCTGAGGTTAGAGTACAGGATATGAGGAGGAATGAATAGTTGGCATTGCTGGACTCCTTCTAGATTACCATTTACCTGGGAAACGTAATCTGAAATATTCCTAAAATTGAAATTCCCTCATTGCTTATAAAAAACTCTGGGGAGTACCTATAATTATGACCCAATTCCTCCCCAAATTGTAGTACATTTAATCTTTAAAATATCCCAGCATTAAAGCAAGGCGACTTTGTCCATACACCAAGTTGCAAAGGGTGACTGTCCCTCTCAACAATATCTCACTATTTTTAATAGCATTTGAAAATGAGAACGTTAATGGCATACTGTACATTCTTGTCTCTCCTCCATCTTCCCCTCCCCCCCCCAAAAAAATAGTGTACTAATCAAACCCTGTGGTATGAGGTGGGGAGGGGCAAAAGACCAATTGAAAACAAATACTTCACATTCCCCTCCTACCCTGGCATAGAAGAAACTTGAGACCAGCATCAATAAGATAAAACCGTAAACATTCTTCTTGGTTTTTATTATGAAAGCATGCAAAAAAACAACAACAACAATTGTGAGACCATACCCCCTTCCCAGCCTGCACCAATGCAAAGCATTATGAGTGGTAGGAAGGACTCACCAAACCAGAAACATAGAGGTTAAAGAGAGAAAGGCAGGGATGGGTGGATCTACACCAAGTAATTAATTGCTCCTTCTGTCCCTCTCCTCCACTTCCCCCCCGTATTTCATCTTGCAGGCAGTGAGCTCCTGCAGTTTTGCACACATCACCCAATACAACAACAATGACTATACTTCCAGCCCAGCAATGCTGAACCAACAAGAAAAAGTAGTATTCTTCCATCTCATGGTGGGGAATGGGGAACTCAGGCCCAAAGAGGGTCAGGTTTTTCCTCTGCCACTGAGCAAGGCTGAGTTTAGTGAAGGGGACCTTAAGTCCAAGGAGGCCTGACAGCCAATCTCCAGCCCTAGCCCCAAACTTCAGTTACTCTGGCAGCCCACCGGAGTTCTTAATGAGACTAGTTTTCTTTAAGACACAGATGATTTCTAAACAAGGGACATTTACATGGATGATTTAGTCTACCCTTGCAAACTCTGTCTGAATCTGAGTAGAAAAGGAGTTTACAAAAGAGGAGTGATGACATGTAAAGGGGGCATCTTAGGGAGAACAGATAGGAAGTTGTGTGCAGGAGGCACCTTGATTGGAAGAAATAAGAAAGATGCCCAAAATAGAAACACTGGGCAAAGGCATTGTGCCACCCTCTATGAGAAATTCTCCTCCCCCCAATTTTAAAATATTATGTCATACTTCAACCCCACTAACTGCCCTCCAACACAATGGGGGATTCAAGCCACTCACACCCCCACTTCTTACAAAGAACTTCAAAGAAATAAAGTGCTCTTTAGTCAACTGCCCTTTCCTGCCCCTTTACTTCAGCCTCACTGGACATCTTCAACAAACTCTCATATAGAACCCCCTTCTAAAGAAGGAGGGGGTGGGAGAGGGGGGAAAAGCAGGAGAGGAAAGCTAAATCTTTTGGAAACCATCAGTAAATAAAGAAATATGAACAAAAAAAGCAGAAATCACAGAGAGAGTGGCCCTGTCCAGTCCATACATTATGTCCTGTAGCTTTCAGAAACTAAACATTCAGAGAAATAAAAATGGAAGTAAAACTGTTCTTCCCACCCATAACTACAATTCAACAGTTAATATCAATATATACTAAGTACTCTGCAGCAATAAATCATGGCCACTCCTTGTTAAAGGAGAGAAGTTATCCGTATACCTTTTTCTGAGGGGTCTCCCTTGGTTCTCATTGAACTCTTCCCTCTAGATTATTTACTCCACACTACCAAGCTCCTTCACCCCTTCCAAAGACCACTGTAAACGTTTCAGCCCCAATGGTCTGGATTCCAACAGAGCATTTGCCTAGATAATTAAAGAACTGAAAGAGTTCCTTCCTGTGTCTATGCCAGCTCCGTTTTCCTTTCCCCAACCTCCTACCACCAATTCCGGTTGGTTCTGCTATGATCGGTGGAAAGAGATTCCCATCTGCCCTAGGACATGATGACACGAAGAGTGATGACGGGTTACTTTTCTATCTTGAGAATGCCGGAAAATGAGGGAAGAAAATAAGGTGAGTAGGAGAGTTGAGCCAACAACCAAAGGAGGACAACATAATATTTGCTGAGTGGGAAAGGGGGTTGAAGACTAATCTGTAAATGCAGATAAGAACCACAGTACATTTCCAGAGAAAATTCTGTTTAAAAAGCCAAAACGGTTACACTGAAAACATCTCCAAAAAGCCGAGCCTATGCTGAATAGTTGTCCTCATTCCTACCACAGCCACAGATTCTGACTCAGACCCGCCCTATCTCCCTTCGAGCATGGCTTAGGACAGTGGTTCTCAACCTTCCTAATGCTGCGACCCTTTAATACAGTTCCTCATGTTGTGGTGACCCCCAATTTCATTGTTACAAATTGAACATAATTAAAGCATAGTGATTAATCAAAAAAACAATATGTAATTATATATGTGTTTTCCGATGGTCTTTAGGCGACCCCTGTGAAAGGGTCGTTCGACCCCCAAAGGGGTCGCGACCCAGGTTGAGAACCGCTGGCTTAGGAACAAGCCAATGGACATTGATTTGATATAGTATTATATACCAATTCCTGAATGTTTTACATTCCATTGCCCCGCTGCAATATTCTACTCCACCCAACCCAGGCCTCTTATTCCACTAGGGTTTTGTTGTCACCTTCTGGCACCACCACCATCACTCTTGCCCTTAATGGGGAATGAGGATCAACGGAAGTAAGGACTGAAAATATGAAGGGACAGGGAAGAGTTCAGAGGACAAAATTAGCACCATTGAGTAAAACCTGCAAAGTCCTGGCTGCCAAGCAGTGTCTGAGGTCCTTCTACTTGGTAATGTGGCCTCTCCAGTCCTGGACTGAATTGATAAGAACAGAAAACAACTTAAGGTCGAAAGGTATGTTTAGCATTGAATATCTCAGAGTGAAAGGTAAATCCGAGTTTGAAACCTTTCTCTGTAGCTATCATGGCCTCGCCTTTCCAGCCAGATGATTTTAAATTAGCAAGGGGTGCACATGGTTGATGGTATAGGGATAGGAGACCGGGGACCGCATATAACCAATAATCGTAATAGTAACATAATAAGAATAAAAGAATCAGGGGGAAAACAAGAAGAAAGAGGAAGGATGAGGCAGGACAAAGGGGTTATCTTCGGCAGCATCTTGCGGTGACTTCTCTGACAGAGAAAGAACAAAACAAGAGGATATATAGGATATCTGTACACAGGCAAGGGGAGAAGGGATGGGCTGGGGCTGCTCTTTCCCCACTGCCAGGCTTCACCACCCAGCCCTGGGCTGAGAGTCACACTCTGCGATGCACTAAGTGATCAAGTCCCAGTCGAAGTCATCAGGGATCTCCTCGTTGGCACCAGGATGTGGAACCGGCGGTCGCGGGACCATATGGTGTGCTATCAGGAAGAGAGAAAGACATTAAAAGGGGAATAGATGGGAAGCTATTCTATCAGTTGGATGGACAGTGCTCAGCCCCAAAATGCCATGAGGGATGTCTGGTGAACCTATTGTTCTTATCATCCCTGAGTTATTTTTGTTGCCAGCCACAACTTCAATGAGGCCCCAGGAAATAAACTAGAGCAAACCAGCTTCCTTGCCAATATAACAGTTTGCAGCCATTACACTTATACTTACAAAGACTATGTAATAATGACCAAAAACATACAGATGTACTAATATTTGAAAAGCAGTACAGAAATTTGTGTATGTATTATATGTGTAAGGAATACAAGGACAAAGATTCCAATGTCACTCCCAAAATTGAAAACGCCTGTGGTTTGGCAGGATTTTTCTAAAATGGATTGGAAGTGAAACAGTTCGTTTTGTACTATTTCTGATAACTTTGGGTCTCCCCTGGCACTCCTACCATCTGAGATAGTTTCATCCCAGACCCCTGATACTAGAGGTCAGGCAACAGGAAAGTAGCCATGGACACAAAGCAGCTATGTTTTATGTTTTGCATATCATGTTCATTTATTTGCCTGAGTATATCTCTCTCAGCTTCTAAAGCTAGACATAAATGTTCTGTGTATCTATCTTTTATTTATAGTCATGCTTTTACTGCCTTTTATTATCACAGGTACCAGATAATTTCAAAGTAAATGTCTACTTTAGTCTCCCATGACACACACCTCAGTAGCAGGTGACCCAGACTCCGGCCTTTAGAATCATGAAGGCTCATTCCTGCCAGGAGGTGCAGGGAATGCAGACCCAGAGACAAGAAAGTGAGACACCTGGTCAGGGAACAGAGTGCTTGGTGGGAAAACAAGCTTCCTGGCTCTTACCTGGGCGATTGTATCCTGCCGAGTCCTGGGTGGGGATTGGATACATCGGTGATGGGCCAGGGTATAGGTGGGGGGCTTGTGGGTGCCCATAAGAGTTCACTGCCAAACAAGAAAACAGTTACTTGAGTGGGATCATTCTACTCAATGAAGCAGGGTCCCATAGTGAGGGAAAGAACAGTCCTCTCCTTCCCCTTAACTTCCCCTCCCCTGCTCTGTTCTGTAGCCCCCAAGGGCATGAAGACTTTCTGCAGAAGCTATCCATCCTCACCCCTGAGGGTATAAAGGACCCCAATAGGAGAACTGTGGAAGAACATGGGCATTAGAAGGATGACAAATGTAGAAATAGGGTCACTGAGTCTCTCTGTCACTGGTTTGATGATCATGTAAGTGTAGAGAATGAAGACTTGACCTGCTGTGATTCAGCTATGGGTTACTGAGCGAGCACAAATTTGGAATGGAGACTTTCTCCTCCCTTTTCTTACGTAACTCTCATCTTCCACATCCAGGAATCACACGGTCTATTTCTTGGGCATTCTTCAGGACTTTACAGATAAATGTTCAGACAATGTGGTGAACAGACTTGTCCTGTTGCTCAGTTTGGATCACTGCCCATTAGATGATTTCTCTCCATTTTCTCCTGTCCTTCTCCTCCCCCTCCCTTTTCATCAGAGTCTCCACCTCCTTGGCCACTAGCTATGTTCCTACCTTGGTTTAGGGCTGGCTCTTGTTTGCCACTGGTGAGGGCACAGGAGTCAGCAATTCGGGCAGGGGCTGGTGGCCGGTGGGAACCCCCCTGAGGGGGCACGTGACCAGTCTGAGTAAGGAAGTGGTTGAGGGAGTCGCACAGATTGGCAATGTGATGCTGGTCCAGGCTCCAGTTTTTCTGCTCTGCCTGTCGCAGACTCTCCATCAGTTCTACAAGCAGAGAAGCAAGAAAGGCTAACCTTGCAGAGGCCCAGAGCCCCTATTGGATCTATCCCATCTCGCTGTTCCAACCACATCACAAATCAACACCACCGATTAAATGCACTATCCATTATAACTGGCATCCGTTAGAGCTCTACATGTTCAAACTCTCATTCTACTTGTTTGTTACTAAATTCGTATTATAATTTTGATCTTACTGGTGAGTAAAACAAAGTTTCAAAGTAGCTGAAGGAATTGGCCAGGGTCATACTGTCAGCAAATGGTGACAAAAATTCCAACCACTGGTCCAGGTTTTCTGAATTCCTGAGAGCCTTCCCTCTCTCCCAGAGACAGAATTGGCTAGGATAAACCACGGTCATGTTTTGAGATAAGGCTAAATTTATGAAACCTAATTTGCAAATTATATCAATATCATCTACTTTGTGAAATACGGAGGGAAATCAATAAAATTTTCAAACTTCACTTAACCATCTCCTTCTGGTACTGATTTCTATTGGGTCTGTCTACTTCCAATGGCTCCCTCCTCTCTTCAGTCATCACTGACCTGAGAACTGTGACTGCTCAATGCTGGACCAATTGAGCCGATTCACCATCTTGAAGCTTTCCTTTAAGGAGTCAATATTGGAGCACCAGTCAGGAGGAAAGGCTGTAAAGAGGACACAGTGGGGCATAAGAGAGAGTCAAGTGTAAGACGGCAGTCAGCTCATTAGCAGACTGACTACATGTAAGATTCTTGCATCTATACAGGTTATCGACTGCATTACCAAGACAGTTTTAGAATTTCCCTCCCTGGAGATTTAGGACAAGTAAAGTTACCTATGCATTAGGTATTGACAGCTCAGCTCATAGGCAGGAGAATATACAAAACAATCCCAATTTACCTACAATTTCTATAATACAGAGCTTGAAGTAGCAACTTGTTAGTTCAGATGAGCTCTCACGGAGAAGAGGCTAGACTCGGTATTTACTTCCTCACCAAGTGGACCTCCATGCCAGAGTCAGAAAAAGGAGTCATTCATGCCCCTGTCCTGTCCCCCGTCCCTCCCCCAGCATCTCCCTGTACCCTCTTACTCACCAAAACCAGTACTATTGATAGGAGCCTGGCCTTGTGCCTGTGGTTGTGGTGGCGGCGGCTGCTGGGCAGAATGGGTGTGGGGATGGTGCTGATGAGGGAGGTAGCTTCCATGCTGAAGTGGGGGTGGATGCATGGCCATCACAGAGGGAGGCCCATAGCCTTCAGCACCAGCCTGCTTCCCCCCTGGTGGGGCACAACCATCTGGGCTTGGGGTGTGCAGTGGAGGAGCACCCGCTACAGTTGAGGGGCCCTGGGCTGGTGCCGGCTGCTGCTGTGGCTGTGATTGTTGGGATTGTGACTGTGGCGGCTGCTGCTGCTGCTGCTGTTGCTGCTGCTGCTGCTGAGGAGGCGGCTGCTGCTGCTGGTACATGTAGTAGTTGTTAGAGGGTGGCATGTCCCCCAGGAGAGAGGAAAAGCCTGCAGGGTGGGAGGAAGCAGGCGAGTCACTTGGGCAATGCATTTTCGCTCAACAGGATTTCCACTGGGTTGAGGTGGGTAGCCTCAGATGGAAACCACAGACTTCAAAGATAAGGCTGTTCTGGGACAGCAGGGATGGCATTGGCCCCCTGGTAGGTAAAACAGACAGAGGGAGGGCCTTGACACTGTGGTCACCACTGAAATTTTAGCAAAAGGTCAGCATGTACCTTTTTATGCTTTTTTAAAATATATATTTTATTGATTTTTTACAGAGAGGGATAGAGAGTTAGAAACATCGATGAGAGAGAAACATTGATCAGCAGCCTCCTGCACACCTCCTACTGGGGATGTTCCTGCAACCAAGGTACATGCCCTTGACCGGAATCGAACCTGGGACCCTTCAGTCTGCAGGCCGATGCTCTATCCACTGAGCCAAACCAGTTAGGGCCCTTTTTATGTTTTTGTACAAGGATTTGAGGGTAGGCCTTAATCATAATTTCAAAAGACACCAGACATCAGGTCAAGTTTTAAAAGTAAATCATAAATAAAACAAAGCCATGGGAGTCTATTCTCTCCTCTTCCTTATTGTCTCTACACCAGCGGTTCTCAACCTGTGGGTCGCGACCCCTTTGGGGGTCGAACGACCCTTTCACAGGGGTCGCCTAAGACCATCGGAAAACACATATATAATTACATATTGTTTTTGTGATTAATCACTATGCTTTAATTATGTTCAATTTGTAACAATGAAAATACATCCTGCATATCAGATATTTACATTACGATTCATAACTAGCAAAATTACAGTTATGAAGTAGCAACGAAAATAATTTTATGGTTGAGGGTCACCACAACATGAGGAACTGTATTAAAGGGTCTCGGCATTAGGAAGGTTGAGAACCACTGCTCTACACCCTTCTACTGTATTCACTACCAACAAATGGAGCTTCAGTGAGGAGTACATAAGGAATGAATTTCTCAAACAAATTGAGGCTAGGGGCTTTCAGCCAACATTAAAATTCAGTGAACACTTTACTGTCCTCACCAATATAGCTTTTTACTTTGTTTCTGAAAGCTTCTCCATGTTCTTCCTTTCCAATCAACCAATCACCTGAGTTGGACCAATTCCTCATGCAAATGCTACAATCTTAGAACACAACTCTTGATTCAAATCCCCTGGCCGTGTGGCTCAGTAGCTGAGCATCGACCTATGAAGCAGGAGATTGGATTCAATTCCAGATCAGGGCATATGCACAGGGAGAATCAATGATTCTCTCTCATCATTGATGTTTCTATCTCTCCCTCTCCCTTCCTCTCTGAAATCAATAAAAATATATTTTTAAAAGAAATTCATGACAATTAATATAAATTTCCAAACAGTAAGTCCTAACTACTTTTAATCATTCCATTCACCTCCTGCTGTCTATACAAGGCCACAGTACAGAACAAGAAGATCTGATGATTCACCTAATGTCTTTTATTTTTTACATTTTATTTTATTTATTTTTCCATCACCATTTATCCCCCATATACCCTCTTCCACTTCTACCTACCCCCTCACCGAAAAGTCTTGACTTTCCCCCTACCTCTAATTTCTTTAAAAACAAACAACAACAAAAAAGGAATTACAGAAGGCTGAACCAGATCTAGCCTCCCAATAAAGACTTTAAATCATTTCCAATTGATGATTCAGGAAATTGAGTATGAACAAGTTATAAACTAATATTAAATTGTGGTAGGTTAATAGATATAAATAACCAAAAAAATGTCTTTTTTGTTAAGGATGCATGTTTCAATGATATTTACAGGTAGATGACATGTCTGAGAATTGTATCAAAATACTCCAATTAAAAAGAAGGGGAGGGGTGGAGGTAGAAGAGGGAATCAGGGGGGATAAATGGTGATGGGAAGAAAAAAAAAAGCTGAGCGGTAAATGAAACAAGCTTAACAAAATATTGGTAACTGTTTAAGTTGGGAGAGGGAAACATGAGGGTTTATAACACTATTTTCTCTATTTTTACATCTGTTTGAAATTTTTACTAATAAAAATTAACAAATATAAATATGCTAAAAAAATAAGATTAAATTGTTCTCACAAAGAAACGTGGGGGGGGGGGGTACTGACGATTAAGGAAAGAGAACTGCTGTCCCCTAGTGGTCATTCTCTAAATGACTTGCTTACAGCAATAAAATCACTGCCCTTCCCTCTAGAAGGGGGATGCTTCCTGAAGCTAATAACCCAGACTGTGTGTTGAAACAGCTGTCCTTCAGAACTAAGCCAGAAGAACTCAACTCCAAACAGTACTGACTCATGACATGCTTCCCCTGACCAGTGATCAACCTCTCCTTGTGTTAAAAATAAGAAAGAAGGGAGAAAAGAGAATGTCACCACCTACTCAAAAATACAAGGCTGACCAGGCTCCCACCCCAACTTCAGACTCACCATGCTGAGAGGAGGAAGAGGACTTCTCCAGCATGGATTTGTAGAGGTTGCGGAAGGACCAGCTCAGATCCTGAAAATTGATCTCTGAGTAGGAGAATTTGAAGTCATGGTTGGTGTTATACAAGGGAGGGGGACCCTCAGCACTTTCTCGGCCTGGAGCCCCTGCAGCCACTGCTCCACCATCCACAGATCCTGGGCCCTACAAATAGAGAAGAAAGACTTGATCCACGTCCCAAACGAGGGACCAATACTACCCTTTCGTGGTCCCCAAGCTCTCCTGCCTGTCTTCATCCTCTACCAACTTTGCAAAGAATGAGCATATGTTCATATTTTGATGTAGTCTCTTGTGCTTTCCCTATGCTACATCCATGTACTTATTTCTCTTATAAACTTTTTTTGCCCCCCTTCTTCTCATCCCTTTTTTCCCTGATCTTTCTCAAATTTCTGTTCTCATTCTCTCTCTCTCAGCTTCCCTCTTTTGCTCTCCCCTTCATTACCAATTGATCTGCCTGCTGTATCACAGATACTCAATACATAATTTTGAACTGAAAGATAGATGACTCTATTTAACCACCCAATCACCTATCCATCCATTCACCCAGCCACCAACTCACCCATCCATCCATCTGCCCCTATGCCCTCTGCCACCTCTCCTTCCTACCTGGCTATAGCTGGTGATAGATGCGGGGCTCTGCAGTGACATCTGAGGATTCCCTTCTGGAGGCAGTGAGGCTTCTCCACTCCCTGGAACACCTCCCCGAGGGCTCTTGCTTGCCTCCTGTTCTGGTGAGTCCTGGGATAGCTGAGGGGTGTGAAAGAATAGAAATCCATAAGCAGAAGCTAAACTTCCTCCCAAGACCCATGGTTTCACCTCTGCTGGTATTTGCCCTTTGCCCAGACATATGAAAGGACTGAAAACTCAGGAAAGAGTGTGGAAGGAGCAGCTGGCTCAGAAAAGACATCTCTCCATGAGGTGGGGACTTACGTCATCATCTGGTGGGTGTCTCCTCTTCCGGGAGATGTCGGGACAAGTGTCGATGGTCCAATAAGAGCCCTAGAAGGAGAACCAGCACCAAGAGAACAAAATCATTTTCAATGAAAAGTCTCACCTTTGGAAAAGCAGATATTTGGGAGGATTTTTTTTTCATAAAATAACAGTTCTATGTATTATGCAAAATGTCTGGACAAGCTCTAACCGGTCTGGCTCAATGGATAGAGCGTTGGCCTGCGGACTGAAAGGTCCCAGGTTTGATTCCGGTCAAGGGCATGTACCTTGGTTGCGGGCACATCCCCAATGGGAGGTGTGCAGGAGGCAGCTGATCGATGTTTCTCTCTCATCGATGTTTCTTACTCTCTATCCCTCTCCCTTCCTCTCTGAAAAAAACCAATAAAATATATTTTTTTTAAAATGTCTGGACAAAAGAAAAATGACTGAAAATTCACACAGAAGCTTGAGGATACTGGTTAATTTTGAGGAGTAAGTTTGTCCTAATAGGGGATATCAGAGATACCCCATATGGTGCAAACTCAGACCTCTATTGTTCTGGAGGGACAGAACAATGGTATCTAGTTCAAACAGCTACTCTTCTATGTGATCTCAGGCAAGACTCTCTTGGATGTTAGCATCCAAATCTGTCAAACCAAGAGAATGACCTACCCCTTCTTCTTTTTAAAGATAAAAAGTCCCTACAAAGGTTATTAAGACCGCCTTTTACATCTAGAATGAGTGCTACACACACACACACACACACACACACAACCCACAGGGCAGCAAAGTCAACTTTAACATAAATATTTCTATTTTTTATAAAAGATTTTCATGCCTGGCTGGTGTGACTCAGTGGCTGCGCATCGACCTATGAACTAGGAGGTCATAGTTCGATTTCGGATCAGGGCACATGCCCAGGTTGTGGGCTTAATCCCCAGTATGGTGGGTGCAGGAGACAGCTGATCAATGATTCCCTCTCATCACTGATGTTTCCATCTCTCTCTCCTTCTCCCTTCCTCTCTAAAATCAATAAGAATATATTTTTTTTAAAAAAGATTTTACAATCTTCCTTAGTCACTCATTTTAGTGGGGCCCTACAAGCTTGATTACCAAGCTCTTCCATTGAGAGAAAAAACAAAGCTGCTTCTCTAACATGATTTCCTCTTCTGGGTAATTAAAACAACCACAAGAGTTTGGGCTGTCTCTCTCCTTCCTGTTCCTCCTTCAGTGCTTACAGCAAGTAGTATCTCACCTTCCCAGGGTCATCCCGGGGTCTGGGCACCTTCCGGAAACACTTGTTGAGAGAAAGGTTGTGCCGAATTGAATTCTGGGGAAGCACAGAAACAAGTTAGATTTGAGCATTGTGCAAAGCAGAACATTTTCCAATAGGATACAAAGGGACACAAAAGGACATAACACAAAACAAAGTTCAAGTATCAGCACCACTCAACTTTACTGATGAGGGAGCATACCTATCAGATAGCTAGAACAATGAACTAAGAAAAAATGCAGAAATTATACTGATGAGCAGTAATGGCTATAAATGTGGCTACCGCATGCTTCTGGAAAGCTGTTTATATAGTTTTTTCAATCTTTCCACCCAATTGATAATAAGTATATATAAATGCCTCAAAATCACATCTTCTCAATTTTCATACCATTCTATCTGTAGTTTAAAAAAAAAAAAAGTTTTAGCCCTAGCCAGTTTGGCTCAGTAGATAAATCAGTGTTGGCCTGCAGACTAAAGGGTCCCAGGTTCAATTCTGGTCAATAGCACGTACCTCGGTTGTAAGCTAGAACCCTGGCCCTGGTTGGAGGCATGTGGAAGGCGATCAATCAATCGATGTGTCTCTCTCATATCAATGACTCTCTCTCTCTGTCTCTCCCCGACCCTTCCACTGTCTCTAAAAATCAATGGGAAAACATCCTCGGGTGAAGATTAGGTGAAGATTAACAACAAAAACTGTTTATAAAAGTTTTAAAACTGTTTCTATTAATAATAACAAATATAAGTTATGAGTAAAACAAAGGCACAGTTTACCTTTCTTTTCTCAACAGCCCATAGATTGGACACATTTGAAGGAAAGAAATATTGTTGTGTAAATGTGTTGGAGGTTTTGGTAGCTAGCAGGGGCATATGCAGAAAGGAAAAAAAACTGAATGCTTTCAACAGTCTTCAGCTCATCATCTGGTTTGTATATCAACTGGTGATTCATACAGTGAGAGAACTCTATTAAAACCCCATTCTACCCTGCAGTTGGCAAATGAATTGGTACTCCAAAAGACTGAGAACATCAATCTTCCTTCTTAGCTTGGAAGAGTAGTCCCCTTCTTTTTTTTATCTCCAGCCAAATGACTTATCCTCTCATTACTTGCTTGGTAGATGAGCTGTTGGTGAAGGACCTAATTATATTTTTTTTCTTGGTGTACAGTTTTTAAAAAGATGATGACTATGTGCAATGAAGCTTTGGAAATGTGATGAGATTCCTACTACCAAGTAGGAAGGAGCAATGCTATGCCTTGCACAGTGACTTGAACATAGTAGAGTGGCAATAAATATTTGTGAAATGAATGGATATTCTTTTTGAGGAATCAAAAGACAAGAGGGTATAATGAGTAACAACATCCTGCTAGCCCCATAACTATATTTAGAGGCTCAGTATCACTGGAGTTTCCCTGATGTACCTGATGGAAGTATATACCACATGTCTGAGACAGGTCAGTCCATTGGACCAGATTAAACAAAGAAACAAAAGTAGAGAAAGAAAGTTGTCAAAGGCTGAAAATAATCCCTGGTAATAGAAGCCATCCCACCTTCCAACCAATGCCAGCATTCTTGTAATAGGGGAAGTTATCACAGATCCAGCGGTAAATCTCGCTGAGGGTCATCTTCTTGGCTGGAGAGGAGTTGATGGCATAGGTGATGAGGGTGGCGTAGCTGTATCGTGGTTTGCCATCCTGGTGGACTGCTGCCTCATCTTTGCTCAGGGTGGCATTGGGATCTGTGGGTGAGCCTGGTGGACACTTGCGGCTGCCCCCTGGAGTCCCAGCCTGGGAAGCACTCCCTAGCTTCTCAATGGTAGCTCGGAGGGTCAGCTGGGGGAGCCAGTCTATGGAGGTGAGGCTACTCTCTAGATCAGAAGCCATGGTTCTTCTGGGTTCTGCAAAGAAATGCACAAAGGAAATAGAAAAATGAGTGTTAACTCTGGTTACAGGTGGCAAATAATACTCGAATCCTAGTGCTTTAAAGAAGGTACTTTCTTTCTTCTATAATTCCCTTAGTAGACTTCTCTATGAGACAGCCCTCCACGTGGTCCTAGAACCCAAATGGATCTATCACCAATCATCTACCAGATGAAAGACTGGTACTTATTCTACATCTTAATGTGGAACATAGCCTAGAGGTCTCCCCCTTCATGTAGGACTAAAAGTGAGATCAAACCACCCAACTGAGCCATCCCCTCTATTCTCCTTACTGAAAGCCCTACAACATAATACCTTTAAAGTATGTAGAAAATAATTTTAAAAATACACTTAGATAGCAGGAAACATCTGCCAAAGTCTATTCTTCAATTATGTGACACTTACTGTAATTTACATACAACATATACCGATAGCACAAGTGAGCATGTGAAGAAAAACATTCTAAACAGAAATACACACTGATGAAGCATACACCAACACTCTAAAGATGTTTCATATCAGATATATTTGAGCATTTGCCCCTTTCAGCCCACATACATGTGCAAGAGGCATATTAGACATATACCAAGCATAAATTACATATGACTACCAGCAAAGAACAGATGTAAGACAGACACATAAACAGAGATCACAATTAGCTACACAGCATACCTTACCAACAGGGCACAAAGTCACACACGCAGAGGTAACAGCTCCTGAGTACTGCTGCCCTCACACCTTGAAAGCTACCCCTTTGCAAGCTCAGCCCACGGACACCTACACCAGGAAGAAGTCATCAGCAAGGACCTCCCACCTCCCTCGGCCTGCTGGGCTTCACTAAGCCAGGGAGACACCCAGCTGAGTGCACACCGGTAACAATCAGATAGCCTGGCTAAAAATAGCCACGCTGGGGCTAAAAGCTGGCTCCCCTTCTCCCGCCCTCCTCCTCTCTCCTTCCTTCCCAGCCAGGCACGCACGCTCGCTGCACCTCCATGCAAACTTCTGGCGCTGCCAAACCGCCCACGCCTGATGTTTGCACGCCCAGCTGCCACCCACACAGCCTGGGCGCTCTTACTGGCAGAGAGGTGTAGCTAGAGTGACATCTTGGTGGGGGAAGGAGAAGAACGATGGGTGACATCTGTATTGCAGGGTCTAGAAAGGCTGGCAGGAACCGCTTGGTAGCCATTTGGCACTCCCCTAGAGCTGATGCCAGCAACCCCCTAAGCACTGGCTGCCTAACAGGTTTGTGCCTGCACAGCCTCCAGATTCCAACTAGTATTTCTTCCTCCTATCCCTGCAGACAGCCCCGCCAGGGCATTTCTCTAGCACGCCTCAGATTTCAGAATCCTGGACAGAAACATATTATGTATGTCATCTCTAAATCCATGCACAGATACTATGCACAAGCGTAAACATACAACTACACACAAATCCACACACTTTGCCATCCAAAGCTCAGTGCTCGCTATGGCTGCCTCCTCCTCTCCTGACTCCAACACATCTTTCAGGCTATCAGTCACTCTTCTGGTCAGTGGCTCTTCCCCCCTTGACACTTACCCCTTTCTCCTAAAGGTCAGCCTTCATGGTCATCTCTCTCCCCCAACAAGGTCCCCACCTACACAATCTTTGCACACAGACACCAGCACCCAGCCCTGAGCTCGTCACCGGCAACACGCCTACTCTACAGGGATGAAGGAAACACCTTAGTGCCTCAGGGGCCTAGGCAGCCAGAGATCCAATTGCAACCCAAGAATTGCTTGACAAGAGAAGGGGGGTGGGGGGGATCATGTTTATAAACAGTTTTATAAAGGGGTTTTCCTTTTATCCGTATCTTCTCTCCCACTACCCACAGAAACTTGGAAACTAATAGGGATATTGAATCATTCCAGGAAGTCTCAGACCTCCTAGCACTATATATACTAAGTCAAAGCACCACAGCCTCTGGTAAAGCAGGGCTCTTTGGCCAGTAACCGGGTCCCACAGCCGGGTTATCCCAGCTGGACAATACTGTGACAAAGAGCAGGTTCTCAATGCCCACAGGGGAGGTCTGTAACGAAATGTTACCCTACTCCCGATGATCTCCTGCTAAAAATCCCCAGGAAATCTCATCTGAAGAACACAGAAGCCTTTAGTGGATATTTCATTTGAAACTCCCCCAACATTGGAGAGGAGCATGAGAGTAGATTTAAAGTGTTCAGAGGGCTTACAGAACCCATTTGGCACATGCCAATCACGGTGACTTCCGGAAAGGGAAGCACTCTCAGCCTGCTGCGAGTTGTTCTTGCTCTTCCCTATCCTTACCCCAGCACCAGGTTAGGACACCGGGGTTAAATTTAACCTTTCTCCTGCACCCTCCCAGTCAGCCCTCCAGATACGCCCCAGCACTCACAATATATCCCAGTCTCATCGGCTACAAGAAGCTTGCAGCAAAAGGTCCTTCTGATCTTTCAGCACCATTCTCCTTCAACCCATCCCACTTCCTCACTCCCGTCACTTCCCCATTCTTGAAGGGCAACCCAGTGTGAAAAAGCTCAGACACTGAGGTTCCTGTGTTCCATTCCCAACCTTGACACTGACTCACTAAATATCCCTAACCGCCCCTGGCTCCCTGAAGTCTTGATGCCTCAGTTTCCCCTGTTAATAAAAGGGATGGAGTCCTAAACACTGCCAAGGCTTCATCCCTGGAGGGAAGTGAATGAAGCTTAATGAGCTCGTGGCTGCCACACATTCCACGCTCCCCAAAATAATGGCATGAGGCTAGTGTTCAGGGCTATTCTTAGCAAGGCAAACAAGAGGTACTTCCATTTCTCAGTCCAACCAACCTAGTTACCCAGACCTCTCTCTCCAGGTGGGCCTCGTGCCACTGGGCTTGGGCAGAACCTGAGTCAGGCCACATTCTTCTCTGCGTGCTGGAAGACTGAAAGGAAATACCCATAGAAACTGGGAAAGGCAGCCAAAGGGCAGGCTCCATCACATCCACAGGGCGTCTAAGGAAGACTACAGTACTGGGAGAAAGGCAGAGAAAAACAGAAAGACATTCTGTTGGAGTGGAAGGCGGATTCTGGATGAGACATGTAAGATCCAAAATTACAGGCACAGTTTTCTTCCCATTTTATCTGCAAGGCCAGTAATTATTCTCTGTGTGGTGCCAAGGTCAGGCATTAAGGAGCGATAATTTCCTGCTTTGCACATAATGCCTAAACTAATAGAGCAATGGCTGCGTTAACCACATTACCAATTACCAGTGGGCTGCCTGGATTTCAGTCCTGACTCCACTACCTACTGGCCTTGCAACCTCAGGCAAGTTACTTAACCTCTATGTGTTGTAGTTTCTGCATCTATAAATTAAAGATGATAACCATACCTACATAGGGTTGTTGTGAGGATTACCTTAATATTCTTTTTTTAAATTATCTTTACTGTTGAAAGTATTACAGATGTCCCCTTTTTCCCCCCATTGACTCCTTCCACCCCGCTCCTGTCCCCTCCCCAGGTACCTTAATATCTTAAAGCACTTAGTAAGTATAACTATTATTTTTTTGAATGGGGGAAAAAGAATACTAGAAATTAAAAATTAGAAAACTGACAGATCATAGAGGTAAGACTGGAAGCAGAAAGCCTGCCATGGTTTATACTGCAAAGCCTGCCCTGAGTTTGCAATCATTTGCAGGATGTCAGAATCTCAAGCTTTTCCTTTGGGGATAGTATCACTGATCAATGTCAGGGTCAGGACCAAGTAAACTCCAGGGATGAAGGAATGGGGGAATATCATCTCTTATTTTTCAGAGGGTGCGGGCTAGGTCTGGCCATAAGACATGATCTGGAAAATAGCACTCTCTAAATCACAGTTAATTCAGCCCAGAGCCAGGTGCTTCTGACTGATTCCACGGAGGCAGGCATTGGAAAACTCAGAGCAAGCAGGGCCAGTGAAGCTGTGTGGTGGTGGTACACCTGGAGGTGTTACCATTCAACAAGTTGCATTCCAGCATCTGGTAAAGTACTTTGTAAGAAATAAACTGCTGTTACAGCAGAGCCGTTTTCAAAAGTTAGGGAAGGAGTTCTAGGATTCAGAGCCAAAGATCCTCATGCTTTTGAGACTCGAGATACCAGAAATGAAGCTCTCTTATTAGTCCTATAAGCAGTGATCCCAGCCTGAGGCTGGGCTGCCCTGCTGCTTGGGATGCAGCCATTCATGAGGGCTGCCGCTGGCCAGGGGAGGCCCAGCCCTTCCTTCCAGCTGGGCATCCTTACCAGAACCCTCCCCAGGTCATTGCACAGGGGGGCCTGCTTTTAGAGGCCTTCTGGAAACATACAATCCTAGGTCACTGGAGGCTTGGTCTGAAATGCACACATGCACTGTCTCCAGAAACATACCCACTTGAAACACAGACAGAGGTAAGACAGAGCCACACTCACCTGCATTAAGAAACATACGCACATTGTCCTAAAGCACAGCCATACAAACCTGGATTGTAGCCCTGTCTCCTCTACTCCTATATCACTACTGACAGGTAGATTCCAGGTCCAAGTGGATGTACTTAGGGACTCAGACGGCCCATCCATGGACCAGACAGAGAGAGAAAGAAGAAACATAAAACCCCAAAGAGATAAAACCTCCCACCTAGCCTTGCTATGGGCTGTAATCCCCCGAACAGAAGACATTTCCTAATGACAAGGCAAGAAGGCAGGCCCCCAGTTAGGGATCCCAGGTTGAAGGGCAGAGCTCTCCTAAACACCAGCCTGGGCTCCGCCAGAAGAATTTCCTGGCCCCTTTTTTTCCTGCATTTTCTAAAAATTCTGAACTTGGATGATTCCTACTCCAATCTTGCAAAGAAAAACTTAAATACAAGGTCCCAGAGACCCAGAACCAAACAAGAAACAGGAAAGGAGAAGATGAGACTATCAGGTGCTTTTAGGAAAGGGAACTCCTGAGAAGTCACATCTCCCTGGTGGTCAACTTCTTTAGAGGAAAAGCTGGAAGGAGGCTGAACCGGTCCCTTCTTCCTATGCAGGACCTGCTTTGTCCTGAGGAACTGTCAGCCCAGGACAGGAGTTGGACAGATGACTGGGACAGGGGGACAGAGTCAGCATTCGGGAGCAACTTCAACCCAGCAGCAGGCATTCCCCTGCACCCTTGCCTCTTGTCTCGGGATGTGTGGAGTGGGATATGTGGAGTTCCCATTTTCCCTTTGGGTTTTATTGGTAGAGGCATGCTTCCAGCCAGGAATGGGAATATCATGACAGGAGGCCTCTTGGTGTCTGAGGTACAGTGAGTGTGGATGGGGTGCTTTCCTTTCAAGGGACCAGTAATCACAGTGATGGGACATAAAGGCAACTTAGGGTTACAGACGAGAAAATGTGATACCAGTGGCAGCCCTACACAAGGGCAGGCCATGAAATGCCACCACGACTTGCGTGAGGGCCCTCTCCAGGTGACTGTCCAGGGGAGATGGCCCCAAGGATGCAGGGTGATATGGGAGTCCAGTTGGGATGTGTCAATCGCTGCTACACAGTATGGATGGATTCTGAAAATGCAGGTGTTTTCTCATCTCCCTTTTCTGTCAGCATGGAAACATACACTTCCCTAGGGACTTCAGGTGAACCCCATCCCGAAACACCAAGAAACCCACTTCCCAGAGCCTCTGCCGTAAGGGGTGGTTTCGAACCCAGGGGTTCCTTCAGAACACATTTCTCTGAGTTACCGTTCTACCTTCCCCAGCAATGAAACCCACCAGCCACCACCTCAGACCCCTACACCCACTAGTGCCTAAAGCGCAGGGACGGAGAGAAGGTGAAAGAATGCACTAACCTGTCTCCAAGGTTCCCCCAGCAAAGGGAGGGAACCACCTGGTCCTGGAGTTTGGGGTTGGAGGGATCCCCCTCTTCAAAGGCAGCTGAAGAGTCTCATCCTCCTCGGTGGCTCTTCCCGTTCTTGGCGGAGCCTCCCAAGCTGGGGAGGGGATCTGGGTCCCCTGAGGATGAGGAGCGGAGTGGGGAGGGGGAGGGAGAGGGGGAGGAGGAGAAGGAGGTCCTACCTGGGGAAGGTGGCACACCCCCCACACCCTGCCCGTGACGCTGGGGAGGAGGGGAGGAGCCTCTCCCAACCAGGAGTTGTCTCCTCCCCCTTGGGGGAGTCCCCCTCCCCCCCAAGCTGGCTGTTTCGGGAGTGGAGGGCTCCTTCTGTCCGCGGGGGAGCTGCGCGGACGGGCTCTGCCCTGTTCCACTGTCTGGGCACCAGGAAGTGGCGGGGCGGGCAGTTCTCGCCGCTCCCGACAGGCCGGGGGCCGCCGCTCCTCTCTCCCCGGAGCGTCCTCTGCTGCTGTGAGTACCGGAGAGGATGCAGGGCGCCTACTCCATGAGCTCACCCCCTCCGCTCTGCCTCCAAAGTCCCGAAGTGCTGCTGAGAGTGTGCTCGGAGGCGGAGGCAGCGGGCGGCCGCCCCCCGCTGGCTCTGCACGGATCGCCCCCTTCTACTTCGGAGCTCTGCTCCCGGCCGGCACGGGGGTCGTCCTCGCCGCCAAGGAGGGGGGACTCGCCCCCGACCAGGGTCTCTCCTTTCCCTCGCGCGGACGGCAAG